CCCAAAACCTTTTTCCCCTTCAGTACTTACAATCTTTGAAGACTAGAGCCGGGTCTCTGTGAGGCAAGACTTGGGCAATGATGTGTCTCAGGGATTCCAAGGTTCTGTCCATCTCGGGTCTGCCTGTGGGAGCCGGCTGCACAGCGTCCTCATGCCTGAATTCTTGCAGTCCTGGACTGAATTTGTGCAGCTCATTGATGCACAGGATTACCAAAGAATCCCTTTTAACATCTGCCAATCAGACATTTCCCAGAATCTAAAGACCCCTCAGGGGGCCCTCCTTCCAGGCTCACTTATCTTTGTTGTGTGCTGAGCTAATTAGCTCTAAAGGCTGGCTGACAGGCGGGTTCCCACTGCTTCCTCCTGTGAAACACACCCACCTACAGGCTGGCTGGGGAAGCTCTCTCATCATCGGAACAGCTTTCCACTCCAACCAGGTTTTGCCTGAATTGTGGGCAGCTTTCTGACTTGGATGTTTCTTTCGGATCTCCATCTTCAAAGGTGCTCCCCTCAGGTACAGGGAATCAAGAAGATTATTTCTCACGGAAATTTCCTTAGTAACAAAGGAGCTCCCAGCTTGAGACTTCCAGCTCAGAATTAGTAGTCTAAATTGTTCTTCGGTAAAGAAGCACCATGAAGATTGTGAATGTAGCCAGGCACCAGATTATGCCTGGTATTTGAATGCAGGAACATCTCTTTGGGAGCCAAATTTTAAAATTTTCCTTCCTGCCCAAATTATAGTCACTTCTGATGAGCAGTGACAAGTACAACCTCGTGGACTGACTCTCATCTTGCCTGGGAACATTTGTTTCCCTATTTATCCTTCAAGGCAAATCGTTCCCAAGATTGACTTTAATGAATTCTATCACTGACTTTCATTTCATGATGGTTTTTTTTTCCTATTAAAAATTGCAAAAGCAAAAAAAAAATTGCAGAAGCAAAAAAAATGTAGTTTTTTTTAAGAATATAGGTAGTCATTAAACAATCTTAAGAAAACAGAGATTCTTTTACTACCTATGTTCTTCACCACTCACAACGTCTTTCCACGGGAGACATAAATATAAGTCATGGGATCCCACTGCGGTAATAGGATTTGTACCAGATACAAAAGAGCTGATTTTAATGGCTGTAACCCACATTAGTTGTTGAAGATTTGTTGAGGCCGTCTTTACTTTTATTTAAAATATTTTTCTGGGGTAAGCACAAGAGATTGCTTTCCAATGTTCTTTCCAATTTCCAGATTCCATAATTATGTTGTATTATACGATTAACCGAAACCAGTCCTTTAAAGACTAAAAATAAAATGTTTTCCATGTGATCAGCTTTTTTAGTTAGTTGGTAGAAGGGTGGGCTTAATAAAAGGAAACAGAAGGAATGGGGCTGTAATAATAATTCTTATTATAATGACTATCACTTAGCAAATGCCTCCAGCAAATATATGCCACACACAACAGAAACATGGGGCTCACCCAGAGTGCAAAGATATTATTATAAAAAAGAACTTGAAAGAAGTAGCACTTCATGTTAAGATACTTATTTAGGGTTCCAAAGCGTACTTTACATGGGCTGTACTAAAGAGAAAATCATCAACATCCTTGCCATCCAGGAGTTTATCATTTAAAAGGAATTGGGTTGTTTGTAGACAAAAACAAACAAACAAAAAACTATTATACATTGATTGGACACAAAGTATAAATGAATGCAAATACTTTCAGTGTGATATTGAATCAGAAACAAAGATATTTAAGGTTCCCATTAGAAAAACAGGAAAAATAATATGGAATTCTCAAAGAAGTGAGACTGATAATATAAAAACCAAAAAAATTAGAAATGATTGATGCTGAGATTTTAATCAATAAATGGGCTTTTTATGGGCTTAAATTTAATTCTAGTAGTACATAAAAACATTTTGGTTGTATAGCATGGTGGGAGGACACTGAATTTGGGATTAGTGAGATTTAGGATTTATTTTTTGTTATCTGTATAACTTTAAATACATTATTCACCTTCTCTGGGCTCAGAGTCCTTATCTAAAACATTAGGGGGTTGAGCTGGACACTCTCTTTAAGATTCGACATCTATGATTCCATGGCTATATTGCAAATAAGCACAAATATTATCACATATTTTCTAGACTTCTGGAAAGTCATATATTTATTTCCTAAAAATTGGACTGGTCTTCAAACAAATCATTTCTATTCCCACAGTCAACCTCATATTCATTCACCAATATAAGAGACACAAATTAATAGGGCGAATTCAAAGATACACACCACTAATGCTAACTAAAATGAGAGGCAAGAATTTGTTAAGAAGACTAATCTTCAATCTCCACAAGATTTTTCTAAAGAAGGCAAACCAGAACCCCAAAACAGCTTTGCAAAGATAATTTGATAAAAATATCATGTTCTTTAAGGTTATATTTTAAGAAATGAAAAAAAGAATTCTAGAAAGGTGAACTATAACATTTTTCAGTCAGTATAGTTTCCTCTTTCTCATTAGGCTCTATCACTCAGCAGTTTTCTGAAACCTTCGCTTATGCATTTCTTCCTTGTCTGCCCATAAAGACATCTCACCTTAAAGTGCTGCTGTGAGATGGTAGAGAAAAACAACTCGGAGGGTTCTCACCATTCTCTTTGATGCAGAAAGAACCTGATGGAGATGGAAAGGCCTGAGAAGTCGCTGTGCAGTGTCTCTATTTTAGTACAGATTCTATATACAGTTCACATGTTAGATTTCACTGTCAGCCTCAACCATCTGTATGGATAGGCCAAAAGCAAAATCAAAGTATTGAAACAAGGGTAAATGGCTACAGTGAAAACCAAAATGATGTGCTTACAAATCCTGTTAGAGTACTACTACAGAAGTATGACAAATGACATCCAACTGACATATTCAGTGGTCAAACCTTATCACCCAATAGTAAAAGAGGAAGGTTTAGTGCAACGGCACACTTCCCTACCTCCCAGGGTGTACAGAACTCTTTGAGAAGATGAGATATCAAGGTGGTATATTTTGCACCAATTCATGCACAATGTGACAAAAAAGTCTCTGGAAACAATAATTCTGCTGTTAAGGAAAACTCATTCCTACCATTCCAGTAATATTTGTGTTGTTAAATAGCTCATTACAGGTACAAAAAAAGATAAGAGGCAGGGGCCACCGATTGAAATAACATCCAGAATGTTCGAAAACATAATAAATGCACCAAAGAATCGTCTTTATTTAAAACCAGGAAGGAGCCCCTACTATTCTCCTTACCTCCCCACTTCATAATCCACTCTGCCCTGGAGGAGAAACCTGGGGTAAGCGAAGCAGGAGAGGGGGCTGGTAGGTGAGGCTGCAGTGAAGTTGGTGAGACTCTGGGTCCCAAAAAATTTCAGCACAAGGCATGCAGACTTCAAAGAATAGGCCTGCAGTACCTGAGCCTGAGCCAATTTGTAGCTACTCCTCTCTAAGGAATGAGGTGATTGAGGGAAGGAGAGGCTGCGGGTTGAGATTTAGAAAGATGATCTTCCCTGAAATAACTTCTTCGCTTACGTGTGATTCTCAACATTTTACAATTTAAGATAAAGTATATAAAATGAAAAAGAACTAGTGTCATGCAGTTAAATAAATTAATACGGACAGCAAGTAGTTTACAAAAACAATGGGAAATGACTGACAGCAACTGCTTCCAGATTCCATTGGGAGATGGATGGAGGTACTGGAAGGACCTAAATGCTGAATTGGCAAAAGAGGGTCAGGGCTGTGTGTTAGTGCTTCTGGGGGTGTGTGAAAAAGGGCCAGTGCCAGGAAGAAACTGACTTCGCAGAGGTAATGACTAATGACTGCTTAGTATTGGCTTTGTTTAGCCTCAACTGGGAAATGACCAGCAGGAGGAATGAACAGTTTGTTAGTATCAACGTTTCTTTCAAGGAATCAGTAAAGGAAATAAAATGGCTGCCCAGTGTTAATTTGTTTACTCTCAACTGGGAAGGGACCCATGAGATGTTTGAATCCAGCTATTTTTGAGAGGGTCAGTTAGAAAGGCAGCTTCAGATTGCTAGACAAGTTTAAAATCACAGGCAACATGAAAGAACTGAGTCCAACAATTGTTCATTGATGTATCATTGCATTTAGGAAATCATCAATAAGTACTCATCTATTGAACTACATGAATAAATAATTAGAAAATTAATACCCATCTTCATATTAAAGGAATGTACATTCATTTTTATAGAATATTATGAAAAATGCTTACCTTAAATAATTTTCCTCTCTACCAGATAAAACCACTAGTGAACTGCCCTTTTTCCTTGCCAGGGTAGAGTGAACACTTAACCAGAAAGTGCAATGAAAGTGAACTTCTCCTTTATCTGAGCTTTCTGTGTTATATACATACATATGTATGTATATGTGTGTGTGTGTGTGTGTGTATACATATATCAAACAATATGGTGAATGTTTAAATTTAAAAAAATTGTTACAGTAAGACACATTGCTATTAATCCCCCTCAAAATACTCCCTCTTGCTTTGAACACACTTGTCCCATTGTTCTTGCCACTTTCTGAAGCAGTTCTGGAAGTCCTCTTTCGTGAGTGTCTTTAGTTGC